CCCCCACATGTCACCCTAACACCACCACATGTCACCCTAACACACCCACATGTCACCCTAACACCACCATATGTCACCCTAACACCACCACATGTCACCCTAACACCACCACATGTCACCCTAACACCCCCACATGTCACCCTAACACCACCACGTGTCACCCTAACACCACCATATGTCAACCTAACACCCCCACATGTCAACCTAACACCCCCACATGTCACCCTAACACCACCACATGTCACCCTAACACCCCCACATGTCACCCTAACACCACCACGTGTCACCCTAACACCACCATATGTCAACCTAACACCCCCACATGTCAACCTAACACCCCCACATGTCACCCTAACACCACCACATGTCACCCTAACACCCCCACATGTCACCCTAACACCACCACGTGTCACCCTAACACCACCACATGTCACCCTAACACCACCATATGTCACCCTAACACCCCCACATGTCACCCTAACACCACCATATGTCACCCTAACACCCCCACATGTCACCCTAACACCACCATATGTCACCTAACACCAGATATCACCCTAACACTCCCACATGTCACCCTAATACCACCACATGTCACCCTAACACCACCACATGTCACCCTAACACCCCCACATGTCACCCTAACACCACCACATGTCACCCTAACACCCCCACGTGTCACTCTAACACCACCACATGTCACCCTAACACACCCACATGTCACCCTAACACCACCATATGTCACCCTAACACCACCATATGTCACCCTAACACCACCACATGTCACCCTAACACCCCCACATGTCACCCTAACACCACCACATGTCACCCTAACACACCCACATGTCACCCTAACACCACCATATGTCACCCTAACACCACCACATGTCACCCTAACACCACCACATGTCACCCTAACACCCCCACATGTCACCCTAACACCACCACGTGTCACCCTAACACCACCATATGTCAACCTAACACCCCCACATGTCAACCTAACACCCCCACATGTCACCCTAACACCACCACATGTCACCCTAACACCCCCACATGTCACCCTAACACCACCACGTGTCACCCTAACACCACCATATGTCAACCTAACACCCCCACATGTCAACCTAACACCCCCACATGTCACCCTAACACCACCACGTGTCACCCTAACACCACCATATGTCAACCTAACACCCCCATGTCACCCTAACACCACTATATGTCACCCTAACACCCCCATGTCACCCTAACACCACCATATGTCACCCTAACACCCCCACATGTCACCCTAACACACCCACATGTCACCCTAACACCACCATGTCACCTAACACCACATATCACCCTAACACTCCCACATGTCACCCTAACACCACCATATGTCACCCTAACACCACAATATGTCACCCTAACACCTCACGTCACCCTAACACCACCATATGTCACCCTAACACCACAACATGTCACCCTAACACCCCCACATGTCACCCTAACACCACCACATGTCACCCTAACACCCCCACATGTCACCCTAACACCACCACATGTCACCCTAACACCACCATATGTCAACCTAACACCCCCACATGTCAACCTAACACCCCCACATGTCACCCTAACACCACCACATGTCACCCTAACACCACCACATGTCACCCTAACACCACCACATGTCACCCTAACACCACCACATGTCACCCTAACACCACCATATGTCACCCTAACACCCCCACATGTCACCCTAACACACCCACATGTCACCCTAACACCACCATGTCACCTAACACCACATATCACCCTAACACTCCCACATGTCACCCTAACACCACCATATGTCACCCTAACACCACAATATGTCACCCTAACACCTCACGTCAGCCTAACACCACCATATGTCACCCTAACACCACCACATGTCACCCTAACACCCCCACCTGTCACCCTAACACCACCACATGTCACCCTAACACCCCCACATGTCACCCTAACACCACCACATGTCACCCTAACACCACCATATGTCAACCTAACACCCCCACATGTCAACCTAACACCCCCACATGTCACCCTAACACCACCACATGTCACCCTAACACCACCACATGTCACCCTAACACCACCACATGTCACCCTAACGCCTCACATCACCCTAACACCACCATATGTCACCCTAACACCCCCATGTCACCCTAACACCACCATATGTCACCCTAACACCACCACATGTCACCCTAATACACCCACATGTCACCCTAACACCACCATATGTCACCTAACACCAGATATCACCCTAACACTCCCACATGTCACCCTAACACCACCACATGTCACCCTAACACCCCCACATGTCACCCTAACACCACCACATGTCACCCTAACACACCCACATGTCACCCTAACACCACCATATGTCACCCTAACACCACCATATGTCACCCTAACACCACCACATGTCACCCTAACACCCCCACATGTCACCCTAACACCACCACATGTCACCCTAACACACCCACATTTCACCCTAACACCACCATATGTCACCCTAACACCACCATATGTCACCCTAACACCCCCACATGTCACCCTAACACCACCACATGTCACCCTAACACCACCATATGTCACTCTAACACCCCCACATGTCAACCTAACACCCCCACATGTCACCCTAACACCACCACATGTCACCCTAACACCACCACATGTCACCCTAACGCCTCAAATCACCCTAACACCACCATATGTCACCCTAACACCCCCATGTCACCCTAACACCACCATATTTCACCCTAACACCCCCACATGTCACCCTAACACCCCCACATGTCACCCTAACACCACCACATGTCACCCTAACACCACCATATGTCACCCTAACACTACCACATGTCACCCTAACACCACCACATGTCACCCTAACACCCCCATATGTCACCCTAACACCACCACATGTCACCCTAACACCACCATATGTCAACCTAACACCCCCACATGTCAACCTAACACCCCCACATGTCACCCTAACACCCCCACATGTCACCCTAACACCACCACATGTCACCCTAACACCACCACATGTCACCCTAACGCCTCACATCACCCTAACACCACCATATGTCACCCTAACACCCCCATGTCACCCTAACACCACCATATGTCACCCTAACACCCCCACATGTCACCCTAATACACCCACATGTCACCCTAACACCACCATATGTCACCTAACACCAGATATCACCCTAACACTCCCACATGTCACCCTAACACTCCCACATGTCACCCTAACACCACCATATGTCACCCTAACACCACCATATGTCACCCTAACACCACCACATGTCACCCTAACACCCCCACATGTCACCCTAACACCACCACATGTCACCCTAACACACCCACATGTCACCCTAACACCACCATATGTCACCCTAACACCACCATATGTCACCCTAACACCACCACATGTCACCCTAACACCCCCACATGTCACCCTAACACCACCACATGTCACCCTAACACACCCACATGTCACCCTAACACCACCATATGTCACCCTAACACCACCACATGTCACCCTAACACCACCACATGTCACCCTAACACCCCCACATGTCACCCTAACACCACCACGTGTCACCCTAACACCACCATATGTCAACCTAACACCCCCACATGTCAACCTAACACCCCCACATGTCACCCTAACACCACCACATGTCACCCTAACACCCCCACATGTCACCCTAACACCACCACGTGTCACCCTAACACCACCATATGTCAACCTAACACCCCCACATGTCAACCTAACACCCCCACATGTCACCCTAACACCACCACATGTCACCCTAACACCCCCACATGTCACCCTAACACCACCACGTGTCACCCTAACACCACCACATGTCACCCTAACACCACCATATGTCACCCTAACACCCCCACATGTCACCCTAACACCACCATATGTCACCCTAACACCCCCACATGTCACCCTAACACCACCATATGTCACCTAACACCAGATATCACCCTAACACTCCCACATGTCACCCTAATACCACCACATGTCACCCTAACACCACCACATGTCACCCTAACACCCCCACATGTCACCCTAACACCACCACATGTCACCCTAACACCCCCACGTGTCACCCTAACACCACCACATGTCACCCTAACACACCCACATGTCACCCTAACACCACCATATGTCACCCTAACACCACCATATGTCACCCTAACACCACCACATGTCACCCTAACACCCCCACATGTCACCCTAACACCACCACATGTCACCCTAACACACCCACATGTCACCCTAACACCACCATATGTCACCCTAACACCACCACATGTCACCCTAACACCACCACATGTCACCCTAACACCCCCACATGTCACCCTAACACCACCACGTGTCACCCTAACACCACCATATGTCAACCTAACACCCCCACATGTCAACCTAACACCCCCACATGTCACCCTAACACCACCACATGTCACCCTAACACCCCCACATGTCACCCTAACACCACCACGTGTCACCCTAACACCACCATATGTCAACCTAACACCCCCACATGTCAACCTAACACCCCCACATGTCACCCTAACACCACCACATGTCACCCTAACACCCCCACATGTCACCCTAACACCACCATATGTCACCCTAACACCCCCACATGTCACCCTAACACCACCATATGTCACCTAACACCAGATATCACCCTAACACTCCCACATGTCACCCTAATACCACCACATGTCACCCTAACACCACCACATGTCACCCTAACACCCCCACATGTCACCCTAACACCACCACATGTCACCCTTACACCACCACATGTCACCCTAACACCACCACATGTCACCCTAACACCACCACATGTCACCCTAACACCACCATATATCACCCTAACACCACCACATGTCACCCTAACACCCCCACATGTCACCCTAACAACCCCATATTGCCACAGGAGTTTCAACAAGCTGAGACCAAGTTGAGAAACTGTTTGGCCAAACAGAGGGAGCCACCCACTAAATTAAAGGATTACTCCCCTTGGCTGGCTGAGTTTAACCACAACAAATATGGCGGGGACTTGGAGATCCCAGGTGATTGTTGGTGATTGTTTAACAAATGATTGTAGTTGATTGTGTAATACTAGATTGTAGTTGATTGTTTAATACTAGATTGTAGTTGATTGTTTAATACTAGATTGTAGTTGATTGATTTTTACAAGATACAAGATTGTAGTTGATTGTTTTAACACAAGATTGTAGTTGATTGTGTTTTTAACACAAGATTGTAGTTGATTGTTTTAACACAAGATTGTAGTTTATTGTTTTAACAAATGATTGTAATTGATTGTTGAACACTTGATTGTTGACTGTTGAATATATGTGAGGTCAACAATGTAGTTTTTAGGTTGGTACGATATAAATGTTAGCCCATACAAAATAAACAACTGGTAAGAAATCCTCTGTAACAAGTTGATGGATGTGTCAACTATCTGACAGGTCAGTACACCGGGCAGAGAAAGCCAACACCAGAGTACCACGTCAAGATCTCTGGCTTTGATGAGAGGGTAGGTTTTCTTCTGGTTACTTGCTTTTTTTTATGGGGAGGGGTGCTTTCTGTATTGGGGGGGGGGGGGGGGGTTTGGTTTCTTTACTGGGGGTGGTGGTGGGGGGTTGGTTTCTTTACTGGGGGTGGGGGTGCTTTCTTTTCTTTACTGGGCGGTTTGTTTTGTGGATACTTTCTTTACTCGATCTAGTTGTAGATTTGTTCTGTAACTTGTGTCTGGATATAGTTGTAGATTTGTTCTGTAACTTGTGACTAGATATAGTTGTAGATTTGTTCTGTAACTTGTGCCTGGATATAGTTGTAGATTTGTTCTGTAACTTGTGTCTGATTCAACTTTTTAAAAATCTGGCTTAGGTCCTGGTGATGTCATCATTGCGGAAGCCAAAGCGGATGATGATCCGTGGCAATGATGAGCGTGACTATCCGTACCTGGTGAAGAGTGGAGAGGACCTGAGGCTTGACCAGAGGATTGAAACACTCTACTTCATCATGAACAAGGTCATGAACTCTGACCCTGCCTGTAGACAGAGGAAGCTGCACCTGACGACCTATCAGGTCATTTCCATGACACCCAGGTCAGGCTCCTGGTGGTCATCATGTCATTATACATCACATAATTTTTTGTCATCATACATGACATCAGTTTTGTCATACATGACATGAGTTTTGTCATTATACATGACATCAGTTTTTTTTTATCATATGTGACATCAGTTTTGTTATATGTGACATCAGTTTTGTTATCATATGTGACGTCAGTTTTGTTTAACGAGTTTTGTTGAACCTTCCAGAGTTGGTCTGATTGAGTGGATGAGAGACACACAACCTTTGAAGAATTTTTTACTCGAATCCCTGACGGATGAGGAACGCAATTACCTGCTTTCTGAGTGAGTTGAACACATAGAGACTCTACTTCACCTGCCTTTTGGACCTTCTGTTTGCTTAAGCTGTCTTCAATCTTTGAATCAATGCTGTGTTTTCTGTTTAGACAAGGGCCAAACAAACAAAACTTGAGATGGCTGACAAAGCTGGTCAATAAAGGGGACCAAGGAAGGTGGCAGAAAATTTATGACGAGCTTTATGTCAAGTATAGCCTGACTGAGACGGTCAGTGAATTCAGACAGAAGGAGGGGAAAGTACCCTGGGACTTGTCAAGGTGGGTAACTCTAGATTTAATGAATTCAGGCAGTAGAGAAGGGGGGGGGGGAAGTACCCTGGGACTTTTCATCTGTAGATTCAAGGAATGCAGATAGTTAAGTACATACAAATCATCGTCCCCACCCCCCTCCATAGTGTAACAATTTTCAATCAGATTTCAGTAGCACGTAAAACTTGTAAAAGTTCTTTGAAATATTAAAACAAAAAATGTTACAACCAAATTATTTTTCTACCCCTCCAGGCGTGCCATACATAAGATGAGCACTTCCCCTGAGGCCTTTCATGTCCTGCGCTCCAGCATGTTGACATCCCACGCTGTCATCTGTATCTGTCAGTACGTGCTGGGCATAGGGGACAGACACTTGTCCAACTTTATGGTCAACCTCAAGACTGGACACATGATTGGCATTGATTTTGGACATTCATTTGGCAGTGCCACACAGGTCAAACTTTTTCTTTCTTCTGGGTGTGCTGGATTCTCTTTACTCTCTAGTTCCTGCCTGTACCTCACTGACTCCTGCCTGTACCTCACTGACTCATGCCTGTACCTCACTGACTCCTGCCTGTACCTCACTGACTCCTGCCTGTACCTCACTGACTCCTGCCTGTACCTCACTGACTCCTGCCTGTACCGCACTGACTCCTGCCTGTACCTCACTGACTCCTGCCTGTACCTCACTGACTCCTGCCTGTACCGCACTGACTCCTGCCTGTACCTCACTGACTCCTGCCTGTACCTCACTGACTCCTGCCTGTACCGCACTGACTCTTGCCTGTACCTCACTGACTCCTGCCTGTACCTCACTGACTCCTGCCTGTACCTCACTGACTCCTGCCTGTACTTCACTTACTCCTGCCTGTACCTCACTGACTCCTGCCTGTACCTCACTGACTCCTGCCTGTACCTCACTGACTCCTGCCTGTACCTCACTGACTCCTGCCTGTACCTCACTGACTCCTGCCTGTACCTCACTGACTCCTGTCTGTACTTCACTTACTCCTGCCTGTACCTCACTGACTCCTGCCTGTACTTCACTTACTCCTGCCTGTACCTCACTGACTCCTGCCTGTACCTCACTGACTCCTGCCTGTACCCCACTGACTCCTGCCTGTACCCCACTGACTCCTGCCTGTACCTCACTGACTCCTGCCTGTACCTCACTGACTCCTGCCTGTACCTCACTGACTCCTGCCTGTACCTCACTGACTCCTGCCTGTACCTCACTGACTCCTGCCTGTACCTCACTGACTCCTGTCTGTACCTCACTGACTCCTGATTTACTCTCCAGTTCCTGCCTGTACCTCACTGACTCCTGCCTGTACCTCACTGACTCCTGATTTACTCTCCAGTTCCTGCCTGTACCTCACTGACTCCTGATTTACTCTCCAGTTCCTGCCTGTACCTGAACTGATCCCCTTCCGCCTGACCAGGCAACTGACCAACCTGAACCTGCCACTGCATGTCAAAGGACAGATGGAGAGTGCCATGAGGCACGTCCTGCGAGCCCTGAGGTTGAACTCTGACCTTCTTCTCAGCACCATGGATGTCTTCGTTAAGGAACCCAACCTGGACTGGCTGGTGAGTTCATACAAGTGGTGACACAAACAAGTGGTGACATTGTGGGCAGACACAATGGTGACACAAACACATGGTGACAAACAAGTGGTGACACAAACAAATGGTGACAAACAAGTGGTGACACAAACAAATGGTGACAAACAAGTGGTGACACAAACAAATGGTGACAAACAAGTGGTGACACAAACAAGTGGTGACAATGTGGGTAGACACAATGGTGACACAAACACATGGTGACACAAACAAATGGTGACACAAACAAATGGTGACAAACAAGTGGTGACACAAACAAATGATTACACAAACAAATGGTGACACAAACAAGTGGTGACACAAATAAGTGGTGACACAAACAAATGGTGACACAAACAAATGGTGACACAAACAAATGGTGACAAACAAATATTGACACAAACAAATGGTGACACAAACAAGTGGTAACACAAACAAATGGTGACACAAACAAATAATGACATGGTCAGTAACCAACAATTTTTGACTTCAGCAAAAATCAACTTGTTCTAACTTCTAGCTAGATTCACCCAACTAATGCAACAAATGCCCTCCATATTTCAGAACTTTGCTGAAAAACAGATGCAAGAGAACAAGGAACCAGCAGGTACAGCAAATATTTTCTTACATCCCATAATGTAAGGTGTCAGCAAATATTTTCTTACATCCCATAATGTAAGGTGTCAGCAAATATTTTCTTACATCCCATAATGTAAGGTGTCAGCAAATATTTTCTTACATCCCATAATGTAAGGTGTCAGCAAATATTTTCTTACATCCCATAATGTAAGGTGTCAGCAAATATTTTCTTACATCACATAATGTAAGGTGTCGGCAAATATTTTCTTACATCCCATAATGTAAGGTGTCAGCAAATATTTTCTTACATCCCATAATGAAAGGTGTCCCCTAATTAATTAAAAATGTGCTTCGTTAATTATTGTTTACCTGTTGATGATTCAGAAGCTGAGTCAGATGACCAGTGGTATCCCAAGCAAAAGATACAGTTTGCTCAGCGCAAGTTGAAGGGAGATCATCCTTGCTACATTATGCAGTAAGTTCCTCCTATAGTTGAAATGCATTTTTTAGCATTTAAAATATATTTATGAAAAATGGAAGTTTAAGTATGTATTTTCTTGATATTTTAAAAAAAATAGTATACTGTTATTGTGCCATTTAAACTTAAATAATCCCTTTTTTCTTTATATATCTTTACATTATTTACAATATGAGTATTTTAAAAAATGATTATAATAATATTGCCCCTAATATAGCCCCTATTAATGAAATGCTGTTGTTCCACTCAGCTGTGTTGACGGTAGAAGAGGTTTTTTTAAATGTCTGGGCTGTTAAGGGTTAACCATTTTAGCTTGTTTTAAAAAAGTTTGTATTCACAGAGATGAGTTAAATTTGGGCCATTCAAGAAGGGCAGCCTACAAGTATATGCTAAAAGTTTTGATGGGGGACAAGCAAGACAACCTGAGAGCAAAGTTACCTCCCCATGATCTTTCTGTGGAAGACCAGGTGGCAGCACTGATAGACCAGGCCACAGACCCCAACATTCTAGGGCGTACCTGGATGGGCTGGGAGCCATGGTTTTAGGTCACGCACCATTTTAGGTCACACACCAACAGTTTAGGTCACGCACCACCATTTTAGGTCACACACCAACATTTTAGGTCACACCACCATTTTAGGTCACACACCACCATTTTAGGTCACACACCACCATTTTAGGTCACACACCACCATTTTAGGTCACACACCACCATTTTAGGTCACACACCAACATTTTAGGTCACACACCACCATTTTAGGTCACACACCACCATTTTAGGTCACACACCACCATTTTAGGTCACACACCACCATTTTAGGTCACACACCACCATTTTAGGTCACACCATTTTAGGCCACACACCACCATTTTAGGTCACACCATTTTAGGCCACACACCACCATTTTAGGTCACACACCACCATTTTAGGTCACACCATTTTAGGTCACACACCACCATTTTAGGTCACACACCACCATTTTAGGCCACACACCAACATTTTAGGTCACACACCATTTTAGGTCACCCACCACCATTTTAGGTCACACACCACCATTTTAGGTTGCCCACCACCATTTTAGGTCACACACCACCATTTTAGGTCACACACACCATTTTAGGTCACACACCAACATTTTAGGTCACACACCACCATTTTAGGTCACACCATTTTAGGTCACACACCACCATTTTAGGTCACACACCACCATTTTAGGCCACACACCAACATTTTAGGTCACACACCATTTTAGGTCACCCACCACCATTTTAGGTCACACACCACCATTTTAGGTTGCCCACCACCATTTTAGGTCACACACCACCATTTTAGGTCACACACACCATTTTAGGTCACACACCACCATTTTAGGTCACACACCACCATTTTAGGTCACACCATTTTAGGTCACACACCACCATTTTAGGTCACACACCACCATTTTAGGCCACACACCAACATTTTAGGTCACACACCATTTTAGGTCACCCACCACCATTTTAGGTCACACACCACCATTTTAGGTTGCCCACCACCATTTTAGGTCACACACCACCATTTTAGGTCACACACACCATTTTAGGTCACACACCAACATTTTAGGTCACACACACCATTTTAGGTCACACACCACCATTTGAGGTCACACACCAACATTTTAGGTCACACACACCATTTTAGGTCACACACCACCATTTTAGGTCACACCACCATTTTAGGTCACACACCACCATTTTAGGTCACCCACCACCATTTTAGGTCACACACCACCATTTTAGGCCAGAACTTTAGGCCACACCTGGATGTGCTGGGAGCCTTAAGAATTTTTGTTAACAAATTTTTAGTCAGTTTTAATATTTTTGTAAACTTTTAACAGAATTTTTTTGTGTAAACTGATTTTCTACTACATTTTACTTACTGATTTGCTACAATTTTTATTACTTGTTTGAAACTTAATTTTTAATGCAATCAAAATGTCTTTATGTTATTGCCTATTTTTTTTATTACTACCAATGACCTGTTAATATTTCTTTATTGCATGTTTACTGCATACATTCCGTACAGAAATAGTTTTGTTGAAAAATCTCAAATTTCTTGTACATTAGTGACTCCAGTTCTTACTTGCTGATACCATTCTACTTGTGTGCAAACATTTTTTTTTGTTATATTTTACAAATGATAGTCTTGTCTAAATAACTAATTGTATGCCTTAATGAAGATTTAATGTCATATCAATAAAACTAACTCATATGTTGTAATGAGAGTTGGTGGAGAATTAAAAAGATGGACACAAAATCATTTTATAATTTTAATAAGGACAAAGGAAGTAACTGAGATAAATACATTTCAGCCAATCAATCGGTCAATAGACCTGATACTTCTTATAAAAATTATAAATATAAGAAACCACATGACAGGAGAATTTTACAAGTAAATAAAAAAATAAGTTTATTCACATTAGCAACAAAATAAAGTTTATTCACATTAGCAACACAAAACATTTTGTGATAGGAACAATGACAAGTGACAAAATGTTTCCAACCCAAGCTGGGCTGACACCTTCATACAACAGCCATGTTAGCAGATCCAAAAATTTGTCTTCACTAGATCATCAGACATGGGGGGGAAAGAAAGAAGAGTAAACCAAACTAGATCATCTGACATGGGGGATAGAAAGAAGAGTAAACAAAGTACCACAGGCCCATACTCATGATGAAGATAGTGTGTAGCAGGATAACACAAATGTAGAGAGACCACAACCATTGGGGGGGGGGGGGGGGGGGGACAACATGCCAGACTTTTTTCTGTCAATGGTTTCATTGTGGAAGACTTCAACTCGAGTTGCTTTAGAAACCTAGCAAATACATGACATGGTAGACTACAGCACATTGTTGTGAAAATTAATTCTGTTCAATTGTCACAAGCTTCTGGGTAGCAGATGGCAAGACACAGGAAGCAATGAAACGACACAGAAACAGATTTTTGAGATCATACACACCTTAACTAATTTCTCACACACAACTAAACAGATCTTTGAGATCACACACACCTTAACTAATTTCTCACACACAACTAAACAAATCTTTGAGATCACACACACCTTAACTAATTTCTCACACACAACTAAACAAATCTTTGAGATCACACACACCTTAACTAATTTCTCACACACAACTAAACAAATCTTTGAGATCACACACCTTAACAAATCTTTGAGACCATCCTCACATAATTTATAGGTAAATAATTAATCACTAGAAGAATCAAAGGCAAGAATAAATAGAGCCAAATGTAAACAAATCATTCACATTAAATATCAACTTGATCCCAACTCTGTAGCAGCTCCTTCATGATACAATACAATGGCCTTGTGATGTGGGCCAGTGGCCACCCATGTGATGATGTGGGCCAGTGGCCACCCATGTGATGATGTGGCCACCCATGTGATGATGTGGGCCAGTGGCCAACCATGTAATGATGTGGGCCAGTGGCCACCCATGTGATGATGTGGGCCAGTGGCCAACCATGTGATGATGTGGGCCAGTGGCCAACCATGTGATGATGTGGGCCAGTGGCCAATTCTAGTGAATGCGGTTTCCATAACCCCTGGCTTAGAGATGCAACTAAATGTTTTCTTGTGTAGGGGAGATGTCCCCACCTAATACATCCAATCACAATCCCGTTCTCTGCAGCTAATGATCACAACAATATGGTAGATTGTTGTTACCAGAAACAGACAGGCGTCCATACACTATGTCCATGTGTCCAGCCAAATTTTGTCCATATGTCAAGCCACTGTGTCCATATGTCCAACCAACATATGTCCAGTCTAAATTTGTCCAGCCACTATTTGTCCATATGTCCTGCTTCTTTCATCTTGGTGATGTAATACTTCTCAATAGTGTTGGCACACTTGTAGTACTCCGTGTCAGGTTCATTGTAGGACCTACAGTTTGTGATGATGCGATTCATGTCAGCTATGAAGAGATGTTTGTGGATGTAATATCTGGCTTTTAATCTCTCGGACATGCTCCGCAAGTCTGTGGAGAAGGGCGAGTAACCAAAGAATTAGCACAAGGGAGATAACATAAAAAAGGGAGATAATACAAATTAGGAAATCAAAGCATTTGGGCAGCAACAAAATTTAGAAAAAAGAAAATAGCTAATACCTTTTAAAGTGTATAAGAAAACAACTTACCCATAGGAAACTTGATATGATCATAATAATCCGGGGCCTCAGACTTGTCCACTGGTTTCAGAAAGGGCCAGGCACTTGCATGACTCTAGAAGAAAACAGTTTCACTTGATTTGACAAGCGAATCATTACAGGACATTCAAGGTAATGCTTGCATTTTTGACTGGATTAAGTTAGGACAAACTTACTTTAGCATAGTCTGTAGGTAACCAACCAAACAAAACTTACTTTACAATTGTCCGTAGGTAACCAACCAAACAAAACTTACTTTACAATTATCCGTAGGTAACCAACCAAACAAAACTTACTTTACAATTGCCCGTAGGTAACCAACCAAACAAAACTTACTTTACAATTGTCTGTAGGTAACCAACCAAACAAAACTTACTTTACAATTGTCCGTGGGTAACCAACCAAACAAAACTTACTTTACAATTGTCCATGGGTAACCAACCAAACAAAACTTACTTTACAATTATCCGTAGTTAACCAACTAAACAAAACTTACTTTACAATTATCCGTAGTTAACCAACTAAACAAAACTTACTTTACAATTATCCGTAGGTAACCAACCAAACAAAACTTACTTTACAATTGTCTGTAGGTAACCAAGCAAACAAAACTTACTTTGACTTGCTGTAGAATTGTCCTAAGACTGGTGTACAGCTGATCAGGGTCCAATGGAGTCTCCTTCTCCTTCCTGGAATAAATCATTTTAAATAACAACTGAACTCAGGCTTTTACTTCATACACAATTTTCAATTTTAAAAATTATTTTCAAGTCTTTTCAAAAAAAAAAAAAAAAAAGTCATGGCCAGAAAAAAAAAAAAGATGTCATGGCCAGAAAAAAAAAGATGTCATGGCCAGAAAAAAAAAAGATGTCATGGCCAGAAAAAAAAAAGATGTCATGGCCAGAAAAAAAAAAGATGTCATGGCCAGAAAAAAAAAAAAGATGTCATGGCCAGAAAAAAAAAAGTCATGGCCAGAAAAAAAAAAGATGTCATGGCCAGAAAAAAAAAAGATGTCATGGCCAGAAAAAAAAAAGATGTCATGGCCAGAAAAAAAAAAGATGTCATGGCCAGAAAAAAAAAAAAGATGTCATGGCCAGAAAAAAAAAGTCATGGCCAGAAAAAAAAAAAAGATGTCATGGCCAGAAAAAAAAAAGTCATGGCCAGAAAAAAAAAAGTCATGGCCAGAAGAAAAAAAAAGATGTCATGGCCAGAAAAAAAAAAAGATGTCATGGCCAGAAAAAAAAAAAGATGTCATGGCCAGAAAAACAGAGCACTGACTTGACCGGTGGTTTCCAACCAGATTCCACCAGCCCAGGAATAGATTCCAGTGGTATTGGAAGCTTGACGCCATCTTTGAACAGGCCCACCCCACTGTACACCTTCTCAGTCTCCATGCTTTTCTTGGCAGCTATCTTCTTCACAATCTGGTATAACAACATTTGGGATAAATTATCTTCTTCACAATCTGGTACAACAACATTTGGGATAAATTATCTTCTTCACAATCTGGTATAACAACATTTGGGATAAATTATCTTCTTCACAATCTGGTATAACAACATTTGGGATAAATTATCTTCTTCACAATCTGGTATAACAACATTTGGGATAAATTATCTTCTTCACAATCTGGTATAACAACATTTGGGATAAATTATCTTCTTCACAATCTGGTATAACAACATTTGGGATAAATTATCTTCTTCACAATCTGGTATAACAACATTTGGGATAAATTATCTTCTTCACAATCTGGTATAACAACATTTGGGATAAATTATCTTCTTCACAATCTGGTATAACAACATTTGGGATAAATTATCTTCTTCACAATCTGGTATAACAACATTTGGGATAAATTATCTTCTTCACAATCTGGTATAACAACATTTGGAATAAATTATCTTCTTGACTAGTTGAGGCAGACCACAGAATTCAGACCGAAAGGAGGCAGACTTAGGGGTGGGGGCAGACACCAACTGAGGGGACACACATCTTTTTGAGGGGGTACTCACATCTTTTTGCTTGCGTATGACGCGTGAGAAGTCGGTGTAGTTAATCCTGGAACACAGCTCACAGCCCATCAGTGTTGCACCTTCGTAGTCCTTGATGTAGCCCACGTACTGGGTTCTGGGTAGCTTGATGTCTTTAGAGAAACCCTGGTGAACAAAACAAGATCAGTTCAGTGCAATTCTTAAAGGTCAGCGTACACTCTCGTGGTCAGTGGACTTTGTTCTTCCTATATGTGTAGGTGTATCAGTGCACCAACATTGTTTTACCCATTACAGCCTACGCCCCTTAAATTTGTATTGTGTGGTACAGTCAGATACACTTGAAATGAAGTCTGGTTATCAGCTACCAAAGGAAACAGGAAATAATACGTTTTATTTTTTTTTTAGAATTTCTACCATTCTATTTATAGCTGTTCATTGTATAAGATTTTTCTTAATTTTTTTTTTTTAAATTATGGGGAAATGTTAATGTTGTTGATATGTTAACATAATCAATTACTTAAAAAGTGTAGCAGTTGAGAAATGTTGGCTGGACTGAAAAGAGTTTAAAAGAAACCATTATTTCAGTATGACTATATTTTAAATAAATGTGAGCTTGGGTCCTATTCCGCTGGACTAACCTGCTTCTTGAAATATCCAGTGGCAAATTCATCAGCAAATGTGAGGAAATGTGTGATATTGTGGAGCAAATGGTAATCTTTCAGATGGTTCATCAATGTTGTCCCATAGCCCTGGAGGACCAAAGTAAAGGTTCATTCAACAAATGTTTCAACAGCTGGCTAGGACAACAAAGTCAAGAAATTTCTAGACCTTCAGCAGAAATAATGTATGGATATTAAGCTCATATAGTTATCATCAGAACAAAACATCTGAAAAACAAAACAAATTCTTATAATAATCAGAGATACTTTGGCTGTAATGTCAGACCTATCAAGAAACATTTTCTTGACAACAAAACATGCACATCCATCAAAGCAAGAACAAGATAGTTTTAAAATCTGTGAGACTCAGATAGTTTTAAAATCTGTGAGACTCAGATAGTTTTAAAATCTGTGAGACTCAGATAGTTTTAAAATCTGTGAGACTCAGATAGTTTTAAAATCTGTGAGACTCAGATAGTTTTAAAATCTGTGAGACTCAGATAGTTTTAAAATCTGTGAGACTCAGATAGTTTTAAAATCTGTGAGACTCAGATAGTTTTAAAATCTGTGAGACTCAGATAGTTTTAAAATCTGTGAGACTTGCCTTGACTTGTTCACTGGAGGTGACAGCACAAAAAACAATCTCTGTGAAACACTGGGTGGGGAACATCCTGAAGCAGATCCCTCCAATCACGTGCTTCTGTTTGACCAGCACCAGACACTTGTGTTTCCTGCACAGACACCACAGCACTTAGAACAGACATCACAGCACTTAGAACAGACACCACAGCACTTAGCAGACACCACAGCACTTAGCGCAGACACCACAGCACTTAGAACAGACATCACAGCACTTAGCAGACACCACAGCACTTAGAACAGACATCACAGCACTTAGCACAGACACCACAGCACTTAGCAGACATCACAGCACTTAGCACAGACATCACAGCACTTAGAACAGACATCACAGCACTTAGAACAGACATCACAGCACTTAGCACAGACACCACAGCACTTAGCACAGACATCACAGCACTTAGCACAGACACCACAGCACTTAGCACAGACATCACAGCACTTAGCACAGACATCACAGCACTTAGAACAGACATCACAGCACTTAGAACAGACATCATAGCACTTAGCACAGACATCACAGCACTTAGAACAGACATCACAGCACTTAGCAGACACCACAGCACTTAGCGCAGACACCACAGCACTTAGAACAGACACCACAGCACTTAGAACAGACATCACAGCACTTAGCACAGACACCACAGCACTTAGAACAGACATCACAGCACTTAGAACAGACATCATAGCACTTAGCACAGACATCACAGCACTTAGAACAGACATCACAGCACTTAGAACAGACATCATAGCACTTAGCACAGACATCACAGCACTTAGAACAGACACCACAGCGCTTAGAACAAACACCACAGCACTTAGAACAGACATCACAGCACTTAGCAGACATCACAGCACTTAGCAGACATCACAGCACTTAGAACAGACATCACAGCACTTAGAACAGACATCACAGCACTTAGAACAGACATCACAGCACTTAGCACAGACATCACAGCACTTAGCAGACATCACAGCACTTAGCAGACATCACAGCACTTAGCAGACATCACAGCACTTAGAACAGACATCACAGCACTTAGAACAGACATCACAGCACTTAGAACAGACATCACAGCACTTAGAACAGACATCACAGCACTTAGCACAGACATCACAGCACTTAGCAGACATCACAGCACTTAGCAGACATCACAGCACTTAGCAGACATCACAGCACTTAGCAGACATCACAGCACTTAGAACAGACATCACAGCACTTAGCACAGACATCACAGAACTTAGACACAACAGCACTTAGCACAGACACCACAGCACTTAGCACAGACACCACAGCACTTAGCACAGACATCACAGCACTTAGCACAGACATCACAGCACTTAGAACAGACATCACAGCACTTAGAACAGACACCACAGCACTTAGCAGACACCACAGCACTTAGCGCAGACACCACAGCACTTAGAACAGACATCACAGCACTTAGAACAGACATCATAGCACTTAGCACAGACATCACAGCACTTAGAACAGACATCACAGCACTTAGAACAGACATCACAGCACTTAGCACAGACACCACAGCACTTAGCACAGACATCACAGCACTTAGCACAGACACCACAGCACTTAGCACAGACATCACAGCACTTAGCACAGACATCACAGCACTTAGAACAGACATCACAGCACTTAGAACAGACATCATAGCACTTAGCACAGACATCACAGCACTTAGAACAGACATCACAGCACTTAGCAGACACCACAGCACTTAGCGCAGACACCACAGCACTTAGAACAGACACCACAGCACTTAGAACAGACATCACAGCACTTAGCACAGACACCACAGCACTTAGAACAGACATCACAGCACTTAGAACAGACATCATAGCACTTAGCACAGACATCACAGCACTTAGAACAGACATCACAGCACTTAGAACAGACATAGCACTTAGCACAGACATCACAGCACTTAGAACAGACACCACAGCGCTTAGAACAAACACCACAGCACTTAGAACAGACATCACAGCACTTAGCAGACATCACAGCACTTAGCAGACATCACAGCACTTAGAACAGACATCACAGCACTTAGAACAGACATCACAGCACTTAGAACAGACATCACAGCACTTAGAACAGACATCACAGCACTTAGCACAGACATCACAGCACTTAGCAGACATCACAGCACTTAGCAGACATCACAGCACTTAGCAGACATCACAGCACTTAGAACAGACATCACAGCACTTAGAACAGACATCACAGCACTTAGAACAGACATCACAGCACTTAGCACAGACATCACAGAACTTAGACACAACAGCACTTAGCACAGACACCACAGCACTTAGCACAGACACCACAGCACTTAGAACAGACACCACAGCACTTAGAACAGACATCACAGCACTTAGAACAGACATCACAGCACTTAGAACAGACATCACAGCACTTAGCACAGACATCACAGCACTTAGCAGACACCACAGCACTTAGCACAGACACCACAGCACTTAGCACAGACATCACAGCACTTAGAACAGACACCACAGCACTTAGCACAGACACCACAGCACTTAGCACAGACACCACAGCACTTAGCACAGACATCACAGCACTTAGAACAGACATTAAGCACTTAGCACAGACATCACAGCACTTAGCACTAATGTTAGTCTTCATGCACAACAGATGGACATGGTAGGGCCATGTACCAAGAATGGAAGGAGACACATAGGCTAAGACTGTTCTGAGATGGAAGGAGACACATAGGCTAGGACTGTTCTGAGATGGAACACACAGGCAAGAGAGAACTAGAGAGGACCAAGAGAAACATGGAGTAGACATGTTGGAGAAAGAAATGATAGAGTTATGGCAGTAATGAACTTACGGGTCAAAGACCAGGCGTGTGATGTATTCTTTTGGCATGCGAGGCAGTTGGTGAGAGAAGAGGTTCTGGACCTCGATGAGCCAGAGAAAAACCTGGTTGCTGGGCCGGTGGCTGAGGGAGTTGTTGATGATGTGGAAGTCAATTTTACCATCTTTTTCTTCTTGCCGCGCCTGCTCGTCCCTTGCTGCATGGGTGGGGCACAGTGTCTGGGTGGGAAAACAATTGGTGGGGTTTGTTAGAAGTGGTGGGATTGTCAGAAATGGTGGGGTTTGCCAGAAGTGGTGGGATTGTCAGAAATGGTGGGGTTTGTCAGAAGTGGTGGGATTGTCAGAAATGGTGGGGTTTGTCAGAAGTGGTGGGATTGTCAGAAATGGTGGGGTTTGTCAGAAGTGGTGGGATTGTCAGAAATGGTGGGGTTTGCCAGAAGTGGTGGGATTGTCAGAAATGGTGGGGTTTGTCAGAAGTGGTGGGATTGTCAGAAATGGTGGGGTTTGTCAGAAGTGGTGGGATTGTCAGAAATGGTGGGGGTTGTCAGAAGTGGTGGGATTGTCAGAAATGGTGGGGTTTGTCAGAAGTGGTGGGATTGTCAGAAATGGTGGGGTTTGTCAGAAGTGGTGGGATTGTCAGAAATGGTGGGGTTTGTCAGAAGTGGTGGGATTGTCAGAAATGGTGGGGTTTGTCAGAAGTGGTGGGATTGTCAGAAATGGTGGGGGTTGTCAGAAGTGGTGGGATTGTCAGAAATGGTGGGGGTTGTCAGAAGTGGTGGGATTGTCAGAAATGGTGGGGTTTGTCAGAAGTGGTGGGATTGTCAGAAATGGTGGGGTTTGTCAGAAGTGGTGGGATTGTCAGAAATGGTGGGGTTTGTCAGAAGTGGTGGGATTGTCAGAAATGGTGGGGGTTGTCAGAAGTGGTGGGATTGTCAGAAATGGTGGGGTTTGTAAGTGGTAGGGTTTGTCAGAAGTGGTGGGGTTATTTACCATTTTTAAATTGATTAAAAATTGATAAAGAAAAAAATATTTCTCAAACAATTGTGATTAACTAGACAAACATTTTAACTAGATTGAAAAACCTGGTTTCCCATACCCCACCCCCTATCCAGTTATATACAGATAGACAACACAGAAAAAGTGAATGTCATCTAAGCAGCAACTACACAGTGATGTTGACAGGTCTTACCTCTGGTCCAACCATACCAACTACACAGTGATGTTGACAGGTCTTACCTCTGGTCCAACCATACCAACTACACAGTGATGTTGACAGGTCCAACCATACCAACTATACAGTGATGTTGACAGGTCTTACCTCTGGTCCAACCATACCATCCTCAGCATCACAATCTGAACTGGCCTCCGCCAAAATTTCTTCTATAGCCTCCCTTGATATATCACCGTCTATTTTTGGTCGCTTGGCTCCGTCACTCAGACCTGCTTCATCAGCTTTTCTTTTGTCTAGAAGACAAATATCCTATGGAATCAATTTACTGACAAGAACAAATTTAAATATCCTATGGAATCAATTTACTGACCAGAACAAATTTAAATATCCTATGGAATCAATTTACTGACAAGAACAAATTTAAATATCCTATGGAATCAATTTACTGACCAGAACAAATTTAAATATCCTATGGAATCAATTTACTGACAAGAACAAATTTAAATATCCTATGGAATCAATTTACTGACAAGAACAAATCTAGGCCATCAGCCCACTGACCAGGACAAATTTAAATATCCTATGGAATCAATTTACTGACAAGAACAAATCTAGGCCATCAGCCCACTGACCAGAACAAATTTAAATATCCTAGGCCATCAGCCTACAGACCAGGACAAATTTAAATATCCTAGGCCATCAGCCTACAGACCAGAACAAATTTAAATATCCTAGGCCATCAGTCTACTGACCAGACCAAATTTAAATATCAGGAAGAAGACCCACCTGCTGTGTCCTGAGACCTTGAGGCCCTCCTGGCATTGGTCAGCAGGCCAGGACTGATGTTTAAAGCACTGTAGGAGTCTGTGGCCACGGTGGAGGAGGTGAATCTGCTCAAACCACTGACACCTGCGGCTCCACCTGGGCTCACTGGGGGGGGGGGGGGGGAAGGGAGATATATGAAATGTAATGTGTATTTAATGATGGGGGGGGGGGGGAGTAGATATGAATTGTAATGTGTATTTAATGATGGGGGGGGTAGATATGAATTGTAATGTGTATTTAATGATGGGGGGGGGGGGGGGTAGATATGAATTGTAATGTGTATTTAATGATGGGGGGGGGGGGGGGGTAGATATGAATTGTAATGTGTATTTAATGATGGGGGGGGGGGTAGATATGAATTGTAATGTGTATTTAATGATGGGGGGGGGTAGATATGAATTGTAATGTGTATTTAATGATGGGGGTGGAGGGGGTAGATATGAATTGTAATGTGTATTTAATGATGAGCAATAGATGGTCAAACAATAGAAAAACATATTTTTCAAACCAGAAGTGAATGGACCTAATTAGTTGTTTAGATCAAGAAGGTTACCTGCAGGAGAGGGGGTGGGTAAATTGGATGTGTTCTGTGCAAACTCCGGGTCCCAGATGGGAGAGTTGTTGCCATAGACTTCTTGCTCCAGCATGGTCAGAAATCTGGGATGGAAACCAAACAATAGTCAGTTTAAGTTTAAAGTGTTAGTCCCTGACTTTTTGTCTGTCTGTCTGAGTAAATTGTTAGTCCCTCACTTTTCGACAGGTTAAAAGACAGGGACTCACCGAGGGAAATGTGTCAGGACCAGAGTTTTTTTGTCTGGTGGCATCTTGTCTTTCTCTGCCCTAAACTTGTCCAGCAGTTGTCTCCTCATGGTCTGAAACACTGAGCGCAGCAGAGTGCGTCCAAATATCAGGGTGGTCTCATGACGGGGTAGACTATCACAGAATGCTGGCACATGACAGAAACACAACCACCTGCAACAAGGGTACACCCAGAGTAGTAAACAAATGTAGAAAACAAATCTATACAACAAATGTATGCAACAAATCTATACAACAAATGTATGCAGCATTTGCCTTGTGAAATTCATTTGACATTACAAATAATATACACATTTTAAACATTACAAATACTATACACATTTTAAACCTTACAAATACTATACACATTTTAGACATTACAAATACTATACACATGTTAAACATTACAAAGCCATGAAAATAAAAGCTATGAAAAAACTAGATGAAGAAGCTTTAAGTGAAGCTATCAGTGTGGTAAGTGAAGCTATCAGTGTGGTAAGTGAAGCTATCAGTGTGAAATGTTATATCCACCTAGTGTAGTTCAACTTGTAATCATTTTCATCTTTCTCATCCAACTGTTGGCCCCGGCTAGCAGGGGGCCATAACTTCCAGTGGTTCAAACAGTGCAGGAACATCTTGGCCAGGTCGTACATCGTCTGCCATTCTTTTTGGGCCAAAGTCCCAAATTTGTACACAACAAAGTTTGTGACACCCTGAGAGGAACAGAAAATTTCTAAATGACTCAACACACCTGAATTAATCTCAACTGAATTCATCTGCTTAAACTATTAGATGAGCAAATCAATTGACAACCAAATGTGTCCAACATGCAGTATAAAATGTTACCAGTAGAAACAAAGCTTTTTGATTCAGCCCAGTGAAAGACCATCTTTCTTACCTTGGCAATACTTGGTTTTTCAAAAGGTGGAGTTCCCAAGGATCCCTCTATTGAAGGTGTGCTCATGTTCAGAATACATTTCCTCAAAAGCTGCTCAATAAATTGTGTCAAATTATAAGTCACATTGTTTTTGTAAAAATAAAACAAGAGAACAATAAAGCATTTTATCCGTAACCTAAAACCTACAGCTGCAGGTATAGTTACCTTAAACAAGTAAAAATACACTTGTTTAGCTTCAGCATCTTCCTCTCTGTGAACACAAACAAACAAATTCTCCACGTCCACAACAATTCTCAGCAGCCTGTTCAGTTCCTCCTCGTCAGTGTTGTCGAGGTGGGAGACATGAGCTCCTGGAGAAACATCAGCAAATACAAGACTCACTCAACAACAAGTAGGCTATTAGTAAATAAATTATGCTTCAAGTAACTACAAAGTAAGCAAAGTTTCTAAAATAAAATAGACGTAAACCAACCTAGAGGATGGCGGCAACTCTTACACGGCTCCGTCAGAGATGCGAGAGGCTGAGATGCTGCATCTGCTACTGGAGGTTGGGGTGGGGGTGGGTTGGGGTTTTTCCATCCATTGCATTTGCACCCTTCAGACTAATACAATTAAATAAATTTAAGCCAATGAAAAAATTGTTATACTAAAGTACTGTAAGTGTTAACTCTCAATAGTCTTGTTCAGCCTGAACAAAAATGTGAGGTAAATAAGCGGAGGATTATTATACGCCTATATAGGCCCTATATCATGTTAGAATTTTATTAATGGAGTTGGATAACCATTTGGAAACATGCTATAATAGCATCATCATTCAACATTCCAATTGAAATTTGAATCATACAAATATGTGTGCATTAGCCTCCCCCCCCCTTATGTATGGTAATTGTTAACAACTAAAATTAATAGCTTATGATAACAGGTTCCTCATTAATTATTAGGCTAATAAATAGCCTAGCCTAATTAATTAAACATTAGGGGTTAGTCATTAATTAATTTTAATAGGCAATAGGCCCCTCTACTAAGAAGTCTCTCTAATACTAATAGTAGGCTATAGTTACAGTAATACTCTGAGTCTAATGGCCTAGATTCAATTTCATTTATTTTAAAATTAAAATATAAATTTATCACTAACCTTGCAACTTGAATATACAGCTAATTTTTCTAATTTTTTGTTCCTTGGAAAACTTCTGACAAGCATTTTCTTTTGAGCGATTCTCTGAAAATTGTTCGTTTTGCTGCTCAATTCAGTAGCTGAAGCTGGGGCTGTTGTGGTTGTAGTAGCTGATGTAGCAGTAGTACCGGTACCGACTTTTGGTGCAGTATTAGTACTGTTATTCGCGACATTCCCATCATCTGGGGTAGATTCCGTCGTTGAAGACATCTTTTATTATTTACCCCTACTGTCTTCTGTAAATTGTATTGTTATAATCTTGAATTTAACATACGCGTTTGTGTTTATCCATATAAAATAGCCTAGCTGTTGTTTTATTACCAGATTTTAGTAATCAAAAACTAAAAGCCAAAAGAGAAGACAATTTGAAATACAAATAAAAATATTTTTAAAATGAATTTTTTTGCCAATTTAGAAATGAGCTAGAAACATAATTTACAATTATTCGGTCATTGTTGTCAGATCATGCAAATTATCATCAAAATTTTAAACAAAAGTGACGCGAACATGAATTAATTTGATGAAGCAACCTGTACTATTAATCAGGGGAGTTGACTCTTGAGAATAAGAATATTCATACTTTCTACCTTAGAAGAGCTACAAGTTCATTGCCTTACTAAAAATATATAGACCTTACTCGTTATTAAAGTTTTACAATAATTACTTAGTTTAGTTACTAGATCTAGATCTAAGTGAGACTTAGAACTAAGTTAGAACGTAAGTTTCTACTACAAGTACTTATCACTTAAAGTCTTACTTACTAATTATTAATTATTAAGGCCTAATTAATTAGTTCAATAATAAAATAAATAAAATAGTTGTGGTGGGGTAATGGGGAAAACCTCGAAACAAAAGTCCTGTGACATTTGTTTTTCGCATTTTATACCCACCAGATTGGTAGGGGGGTGGAGGTTAAATGACATTTTGCTAAAATTTTACTGGACCCTAATCTTAATTTGCCATTGATTAGTAGGAGGGGTCGGCGTGGTCGAGTCAGTAAAGCTCATGGTTGCTAAACCGAAGTCTCGAGTTCAAACCCTCGGGCAGATGAGGCTCGTTAGCTGGGGACAGCCACTCTTCTAGGAGAGACAACTCCAAAATCAAACAACTGCTGCCTTGTAGTTTGTTCTTGGTTGGACAAAGGCTATGGAAGCAAATCCAAAAAGAAAAGCAGGCTGAAATCTGAGTCAATGGCCTCAATGGCGCATAACCAGTTGACACGTAACCTTAATTGTGTTGGAGGCATGGTCGAGTCGGCAAAAAGCTCATGGTTGATACATTCGAAAAAGTCTCGAGTTCAAACCCACTGGCAGATAAATCTAAAATTCAAAATTGTACTTAGACGCAAACTTGAACACACTTTTTGTAAGGCCTATCAGCGTTATAAAATAAAATTTGAGTGGCTATTGTTAGATATTACTAACTAGGCTACTCATTATTAGTATTAGATAGCATATTTTTAAAATATTATTAAGTTGGCTTACATTAGGCCTATAGATATGACTATCTGATCTAATGCTATCTTGGTCAAAATATTTTGTAAGTTTTTTTCTTGATACATATTTAATATAGGACCTGCATTACTCCTAGTGGGGACTCTGTGTATGGCTGGTTACTTCAGTCGTGTTGTCAACAAACTTTATTTAGTCAAACAGTTTTCAAAGGTATCTTTCACCCAGCGACATCTTGTTACAAGAACTGTCATGGGAGATGAGGTAACTTTTCTCTAATGGCTGATCCTAATTTTCTGTTTTATCCCAATGTTGTGTTCCATTCCTTATGATAATGACAGTAATATTTTCTCTTGTTTAGAAACCTATTGAAAGTGCAATCAGGAAAAAACTTAGCGAAGCCTTAAATGTAAGTATACCAGTATAAACTTTCCAGTCATCTCTATTCTGCTAGCCTCCTGTCATCTCTATTTTACAAGCCATTTGTCATCCAAATTTTGCTATTTCCACAGCCACAGTATTTAGATGTTATCAATGAAAGCTACATGCACAATGTTCCTAAAGGTAGAATGATTTGACCTCCATCCCTTCTATATTACTTCAGTGTTTTTTGTCTCAAGAAATCTGTCCTATCCAGAAAAGTTTTCAATGTGATTTAGCTTGTTTTGTTTTTAGCCTTTAAATAATGTGTAAATATAAAAATTAGATTTCTTGTTAGACTGAGCTGGGTTTTATTTTTACAGGCACAGAATCCCATTTTAAAGTTGTCATTGTGTCATCTGCTTTTGAAAATGTGAAGCGAATTGAGGTAAATAGTTAGTAAAAATATTTCTTCTTCTTTGATATGTTAAGGTTCCCTACTCGAACCTGATGAGACAGGTGAAGTAGAGTTCACATTGGCATGTGAAGAAATAGTGTGGTCAGCACTAAGCCTACCCGCCTTTATTATCCTTAATTTGAGTTACATGTTAGAACTGGGTGGACTCAGGGACATTATATTGACTTGTACCCAGATTCAAAGTTAGACTTTCAGATTAGCAGTCTAGCACTCTACCCCTAGGTCAGGCTGTACTCATTTTTTATCTGGATATTTTTTTATAGCAAAGTAATTTTTAGAGCTTTCATGTTACATTTTCAGAAACACAAATTGGTGCATAAAGCAATTCAGGAAGAAATTGATAACTCAATTCATGCCTTGTCTATTGTTGTAAGTTTTGTTTTCTCTAAAGTACCAGACATTTACTACACCAACACTACTGACTTAGTTTTTTTTTAAAATTATTTAAAATTTGCTTTTCTCTTTGTGATGAAGTTAAAGACAAAATGTTTTTTAAAGGCTGAAATAAAATAGACAAAAACAAAGATTTTTATCTAACGCAGCTGAGGCATAATTTTATACTAAACCAATTTTTGCTGTTGAGAAATAATTTGTTCAGCTAATTAAATGCTGAGTCTTTCAAATCAATCAAGGTAAAAAATGTGATATGTGAAAATCGTTTCTATTTTCTATTTCAGGCCAAGACACCACAAGAATGGGAGACATCACAAGATATTGGCCAATCGCCTGCGTGTAGGGGTGGGGCTGGCTTGTAGCATACCAGATGTATCATGTCATTCTTTTGAAATAAAAAAATTAAATCTGTTTGAAAGATTGTACTAATTAGCCTGTTTTTTTAGACTGATGTAAAGATTGTTTTGATTATCTTGTCTCATTACACTTGAATTACACCAATGTGGAGGGTTGATTGATTGCTATAAATTTCATGGAATATGTCTATGGCAAGCAGTGGCAGTGTGAGTAACACGAACCCCCCCCCCCCCCCCCCACTTATGTGATGAGCTCCCCCCCCCCCCCCCCACTTATGTGACCAGCGCAAACACACACCCCCTCCACATGTAAGTGACTGTAATAAAAGTAAACAATTTATCACCAGGTTTGAGCAAGATTTTAAAAATATCAATTTGTTTTATTGATATCACCATTGGCATGTGGTGATTCTTTCTAAATACCTGCATTCTATATTTAAAATAGTAACAGATATTTAGTAAGACAAAAAGTAATTATAAGCATACGCTTTTTTGTTAAAAAATTGTTTCCATATACATAAAAATGTTTTGAAAAGGAAAACATTTATTAAGGGCAACAACTCAAGCATGTCTTCAAACTTCTAAAACAATTACATAGCTATGATCCTTTCTAAAGCAGAAGAAAAATATGAAAATCTTGTTGGAAAAATTTGATTTTCAATGTTAATAATATCTACATTTTGTTATTTTTATAAAACTATTCCAGAAATAAGAGGCGAATTTATTAATTGTGCAAAAAGTAAAATTTGTAGAAGGAATTCAAATGGTATAAGGTTAGTAAATTTGCCAAATGAGATTACTATCATTTATTCGCCGTATTGAAAAATATATAAAAACGAAACAAAACCTTCTGCAGGGGAATAACCATGCCAAAACACTAAAGTAAACATAATTACATTGTTATCCCCCTTAGACCGCATAAATAAAAAAAATCATACATTTTTTTTTTATTATTAGTAATAGAAAATTTTAAATTGTATTTCAATAGGTAAACAAGAGTACTAGTACTATCATATACATTAAATTTAGGAATTAAAAAAGAAATACGGAAGAAAATTCGTCGAAGTCGAGTGAACATATAAATATTTTACAATCAATTGCATGTCTACATCTCTTTAATTTTATATTGGTTTTTTAATTATTTTTTTATAGATGTCTTCTATTTACATAAAAATAAAGTCAAACAAAGGCAAATAAATTATTTCGTTTCATATTAAAACATTCTGTTATATATTTTTGATAAAATTAAAAGTAAAAGTTATCAAATAAATTGCAGAACAGTAGTCAAAGGGCAATAACCATGTTAAAGGAGAGTTTAGAACAATATTACATTATAGTTTCCCTTGGACTGTGTTTTAACAAATTATACAATTTGCTATCCCCAAATGAGAGTAAACGCTTCCTATAATTTAGAATGCACTTTATTGTCATCTTCAAGGTTTTTTTTTTACTATCGGGTTTATTTCATTCGGTTGTGTTACATTTTCACAGACAGTTTCTTAAAACAAAAATATTTTTACACTTTTTTGTTAGCCGAAATGATGGGCGTTTCTATTGATGAGTGATGAGAATTTTCCTGGCTCTGAACGACAGAGCTTTCTGTTGAGGCCGTCGTCAAGTCCTGCTTTCCTTGAGGAATTTGTAGTTTACTTGTGGGTAGTGCTAGATGTGGGCTGTGTGGTTGTACATGTGGGCTGTGTGGTTGTACATGTGGGCTGTGTGGTTGTACATGTTGGCTGTGTGGTTGTACATGTTGGCTGTGTGGTTGTACATGTGGGCTGTGTGGTTGTACATGTGGGCTGTGTGGTTGTACATGTGGGCTATGTGGCTGTTGGCCTTCATGTGTGCTGTGTTGTAGCAAGTGACAGGAAGAGACCAGCATATCTGGAGCCTTGACATTGGTGACGAACAGGTTAGCGGTTTCTGGAGATTCAAAGAAAAACTCCGAAGTAACAGGGAATTTTAATTTCTAATTACCATACCAAAGATGAGAACTTTAATATTTTGTTTCCTTATGTTTGCCCATAGCGCCCCCACCCCGACTGCATTCTGCTGTAATCCCATGTAACCCACTATATTCCCCTCTAATCTCCTGTAATCCCCTCTAAACTCATGTAATCCCCTGTAATCCCCTGTATTATCCTCTATCCCCTCTAATCCCCTGTAATCCCCTGTATTCTAGACTTACGTTGAAAACCAGGTGAGGCCGGCCTTGAAGCGGTGTCGTGAGATTCGGTGCTGTGGTCGATGTGCTTCAGTGATATGTTGGGACTGGGGACTAAAACATATGGGATATGTTGGGACTGGGGACTATAACATATGGGATATGTTGGGATTAAAAATATATGGGATAGGTTGGGACTAAAACATATGGGATATGTTGGGACTGGGGACTAAAACATATAGGATATGTTGGGACTGGGGACTAAAACATATGGGATATGTTGGGACTCGGGACTAAAACATATAGGATATGTTGGGACTGGGGACTAAAAACATATGGGATATGTTGGGATTAAAATATATATTGATATGTTGAAGCTCCAACAAAAGACGTGTTTAAATATTGACAAAAAAAAAAACAAAAAAAAATTAACCTAATTAAAATAAATTACCTGAACAGTTCGAAGTTTTAGGAAAGATGGTGGACTTTTCTCCAATGTTGGTGGGCTTTCTGATAGACCAGCGAGGTACACCACTTTCTGCGCAGTTTAAATAAATAAATCAATCAATCAATATATATATGTATGTATATATATATATATATATATTTTTATATTACTATGGGTAGATCATTAAGCAGCTAGACATTGTTAGCACATAATAACGTCACTGGTAGACACCCATCTACCCACACCCACCTACCTCCACACCCACTTACCTTCCCTCCCCCCCCCCCCCCACACCCGCCAACTTTCCCCCGCCCCCCAACACACCCCGCCCACCCCAATGCACCTACCTCCACCCATCCACACCCACTTACCTCCCCCCCCAACACCCGTCTACCTTCCCCCCATACACCCCGCCCACCCCAATCCACCTACTTCCCCCCTCCCCCACACACCCGTCTACCTTCCCCCCACACACAACGCCCACCCTCACCCACCTGCCTCCACCCATCCACACCCACTTACCTCCCTCCCCCCCCCCCCCCACACCCGTCTACCTTCCCCCCATACACCCCGCCCACCCCAATCCACCTACCTCCCCCCACCCCCACCACCCCACCCCACCCCACCCACCTACGCCTATCCTGTTACTCCTCTTGATGAGCAGGCACCTAAAGGCCTCAATGAAACCTTTCCTGAAGTTCTCGTTGAAGCCGCCGTACAGGATGGGGTTGAGGGCGCTGTTAAAGTAGGCCATGTACACGGCCACGTACTTGATGGTGGGTAGGTACTGGGGGATCACCTGCAATATAACAAATACTTGATGGTGGGTAGATACTGGGGGATCACCTGCAATATAACAAATACTTGATGGTGGGTAGATACTGGGGGATCACCTGCAATATAACAAATACTTGATGGTGGGTAGATACTGGGGGATCACCTGCAATATAACAAATACTTGATGGTGGGTAGATACTGGGGGATCACCTGCAATAGACATGACCACCTGGTATAGACACGACCACCTGCAATAGACATGACCACCTGCAATAGACATGACCACCTGGTATAGACACGACCACCTGCAATAGACATGACCACCTGCAATAGACATGACCACCTGCATTAGACATGACCACCTGCAATAGACATGACCACCTGCAATAGACATGACCACCTGCAATAGACACGACCACCTGCAATAGACATGACCACCTGCAATAGACATGACCACCTGCAATAGACATGACCACCTGCAATAGACATGACCACCTGCAATAGACATGACCACCTGCAATAGACATGACCACCTGCAATAGACACGACCAAATCCCACCACCTGCTATAGACATGATCACCTGCAATAGACACGACCAAATCCCACCACCTGCAATAGACATGACAAAATCCCACCCGACTGACTGAAATAACAGAGTGTAGGTAAACCAACAATTGACTGACCTGTGTCCGCCAGTTGATGCCGTAAAAGAGCAACAGAAATTGTTGCGGTGTCCAGTTGATGACGAATGTGATCAGGACGGCCACCAGCATCTTGATCACCTGTATGGGGGTGATGTGGGGTGTGTGGGGGGGGGGGGGTAAATAAATCAGTGATGAAAACAAAACGTTATCAAATGTGTTTCCTGAACTGACCTAAACTAACAGCGTCTAGCAGCTGAGGTGACCCTGACCTTTCGTTTGGCCTTGTCCTGTGATGACGAGGTGTTGGCGATCAGACTGCCCGGGGCGCGGCGCGTGAACAGACGGACGGCGATGACGGTGTAGGCGGCGATCATGACGGCGATGGGCAGGAAGTACATGACGACACACACCATGACGTAATAGATGGTTTTCCCGGGCTGTCGTCTGCTACACGTCTCGTCGTAATACTGGGGGGGGGGGGGGGGTTAAAGGGTTACATTTAAACATCACAAGATGTAACGGGTAAATATGATCAGATAATAGACAAAAGCCTTTAACACAAAACTTTTATTTAAGCGCACAAGAGAAGATAATTAGCGTGTCGTTGCCATCTTTAATTAATTAAAAACTAGACATCTAATTATTTCAAGATGTCTGTCACGGTGTTGTCACCCGGTCTTGATCACGTGGTCACCTTATATGACGTCACACTTTTAATGATTTTATTTCCACCCTCCTCCCTCCCTCTCCATCAGAGTTTCTTCCAGGCATCTCAGGCAAAGCCCCCCCCCCCGAAATTTTTTTTTTACCGCCCCCCCCCCCGAACGAAATGAAATTTATATAATTTATATAGAAAATATATACTTTTAACAGTGTCCGCCCCCCCCCCCCCCCGAAGAAAGTCTACCGCCCCCCCCTTCCCCGAAAATTTCAAGCGCCCCCCCCCCCCCCCCCGGAGAAAAAAGTCTGGAAGAAACACTGCTCTCCATCATCACAAATACCCAGACTCCACCTTACAACCCACCCCAAACAACCCACCCCAAACAACCCACCCCAAACAACCCACCCCAAACAACCCACCCCAAACAACCACCCCAAACAACCCACACCCTTACAACCCACCCCAAACAACCCACCCCAAACAACCACCCCAAACAACCCACACCTTACAACCCACACCTAACAATGACGTCAAACCAACTCAACCAACCAATCCCACCTCAAAATTAAAAGTTTTGATTTAAAAACATCTAGATTATTGTCTATATTTTCTGAGGTTGGTATTCGTTGAGTTACTTGCTAAAATATGTCGTCACACTTTCTGAACTTCCTCTCCCCTCCCCCCTCCCCCCTACCCCATCTCCCCAGGATGTGATGTGTCAAGTTTTTAAAAAAAATAGTTTCGGTAGAAGTTGATGGCACGTGACAAAAAGATTCAAAACAAAATTACAGACGATGAAGGTAAAATAAAAACCAGGAAGGAATTTGTCTCAGTAGTCTTAAAGAAATGAAAGAAAATAACTGTAGGGCCTACAATCTAAAAACTAAGGTTTGTGCCGTAAAACAATATAGCCATAAAAAATCTATAATAATAGTTTCGCTGTCTCTCTATCTATCTATCTATCTATCTGTCTGACAAGAACGCTCTAGAGAAAACACAAGGAAAATAAAAAACATGCACAGTAATTCGAAAAACGAAGTATGACGTCGACACATTTAGCGCACAGAGTAGAAAATAATCTCAAACCCAGAGAGTGCTCACAGTTATATGACGTCATTGATTTTCGCGTTAACATTGAATAAAAAGGAAATGTTGTCTAATCTTAATGGTTTGCGTGAAGAGTTTCTTGCATACAATTCTTCGGGTAGGGGCGAAGCCCCACCCCCCGCGTAAGAACGTCTGAGCCCCCCCCCCCCCCTCCCCAACTCAAAAGAAATTTCTTCATCGATACTCTATAATAAAATTACCGCCTAATTAATGTGTCCTAATCTAAAAAGTGGTTTTCTTGCAATTTCTTTAATGCAATTCT